TAAAACCCTATTTGACATTAAGCCATATTTTTGCAAAGCCAAAAGATCCTGTTAAAACAAATCAGAAAACTCATACTGTATATTCTATACCATGCGGTGACTGCGAGAAAGAGTATTTGGGTCAGTGTAATCACCAGTTTTGTACATGGCTAAAAGAACATCAAAAGACTGTTTCAACTTTAAACAAGGGAAAATCAGCTTTAGCAGAACATGTGTGTGACACCAAACACAAGATTGTATGGGAAAACTCTAAAGTAATTGCCACAAACAATCGCAATGGTCAAAGACTATGCCTAGAAGCATGACATATAAATATGAGTAATTACGCTGTGAATAGGGATAACGGTGCCTATTTGCCAGAGGAATACATGCATCTCATTGGCAGGTGATGTCATCCCTTGGGTATTTAAGAAACCACAATTGCAACCTTAGATCACCCCTAGAGAAGACACTAGACTGGAGTGTCAAAACGTTGGGTCTTGATTACAATTCGACTGGGCTTTGTAATCATTTATTTAAACCAGAGTAGCGAGCAAAACACGATTGATATACCTGGTTGCAGTGAACGAACAAACTTCAAATAACTGAGAGCAATTGCAAGTCTGCCAGCACAAACTGAACCTGCAGCCCTGCAATTCTACTGCAGCCCTCTGACTTAAAGTGTCTGTTTGCCAAGAGGTCACCACAAGTTGCTGCACATATATAAACCATGGTGGTGTCAGTGGTAGTATTATTATATATAATAAATAAAGTGGGATGACACTAGTATTATATACATAAACTCTCCATTGACTCTTGGGGCTTAATGTACTCTTTGCAATTAAGGAGCTGATCTGAATCACAGGGGTTCCATTCCCGGCACAACAGCTATTACATAGTTATTGTTCAATATTTCCATCTACAGAAAGACTTTAACCCATTGAGTGGCAGCATACCTGGCATTGGACACAAAATAATAATATAATAAAGTAGAGCACATTGCCACTTAAAGGGTTAAACATTCTGTTCAATCTTGACTACTTACAAGTAAAATACACTGCGTGCATTGTCAGTACTCAATCAAGCATATATATGTCGAGCAAGTTCATTAGTTAAATTTTAGTACAAAACAAGCTGTACTATACCACCAGTCGGCAACTCCTAGTCCTTTCCTTGCGTGGTTTGGTAATCCATAAACATGCTCTCCAGCAAAAGAATAACATTTTCCAAATAGACCATAAAGTACTTAGAATGCCATCAATGATTATATATATTGCCACTTGTTTAGATGACTTGCCTTCTCCTGCGATGCTTCGATAACTTTTCATTCAGCATCACAATATATAATGAATCCATATTAAATACAACCACTATTAATTAAGAAAAAATATATAAGGTTGATATATAACAGAAGCAAATTATTGATTGAGTGACAATGAATTTGCTATTTTTGGTTGTTTTCTAGTATACAAAGCAAGCAGAGGTGTAACTTAACACTTGCCCACTTGCCCGGGGCAAGTGAAATTCATGACGGGCAAGTAAATGTTTTATCTTGCTTGCCCAATTGGGCAAGTTACCTTGCCACAAAAATCTGGGCATCTTTAAGTTTATGTTTTTATTGTCGGATAATTTTTTTGTAGTGCATGTACTGGATTCAAGCACTCTCCCCCTGACGAGTAATATCGTCAGGCGTAAGACAGACTAAAATAATAAAGTAGGGCACATCTGGGCACATTGCCACTTACAGGGTAAACAGGGTGCATCCTATAGGCAGATAGTCTGATTAACCCATTGAGGGGCAGATTCTCCCCCTGACGAGAAAAATTGTCTGATGTTAAACAAAGTAAAATAATAAAGTAGGGCGCATTGCCACTTAAAGCGTTAAAATATCTCAGCAATTGTTTTTGTCAGTTACATTTCGAAACTGTCTGCAAAAGTAAGATGTTGGTTATTGGAAAATGTGCTTCTATTATATAACTCAGTCTGGGTGATTCAATTTGGTGAGCCTACCCATCTAAAGAGGCTCATGTAAACAGACATTCATCCAGGGAAAGCAAGCTATAGCCGGGTTACCTGGGCTGGCTTTCCTCCATATTGACCATATAAGCAGCCCCTCACACATGTTTTAGGGTGACCGATGGAGGGTTACCATAGCAAGCACATGCCATACATTGGGTAATATTGGGAGACGGGCCATTACAATGCTATCTATATGCTATTAATGTGACTTCAAACAAATCACATTATATTTATGTGATTTGTAAGTATACATGTCAACTATAAATGGCAAATATTTCACAGGAAATATAACATACATGTATATCACACAAATAAGCTATACGATTTCCTTAAAACACAAATAAGTAGAGTGTAGATTAGATTTATACACTTCTGCTAATAAAAACTAATCGAAAATTTTATTTACAACTGAACGTTTAGATGCCTTCGGTGAAAAAGAATTAATACAAATACAGGCCTTCGATTTAAAAACATAACTATACATTATATCAAGTAACTATCCGCATACAAATGAGTAAATACACAAGAGACATACCTTTGAAAACAAATTCCATGTATTTCATTAGGTCTTTGGAACTTTATAAGTAGAAAATTTGAATAAAAATTCTTTACTCTTTGAATGTTTGCTCCCAAAAGATCGAACATAGCGCTTGTTATCAACAGATCGAATTACTACAACACGTGATATATTCTAAGCATGTTAATTGGTTAAAAAATAGTTGAAATTCTGGAACTTCCACTTGTCGCAAATTATATTCCGCAATAGAACATTCCATAAGTTCAAATTACAGATTAATTTACGCAGCAAATAAAAACTCATAATAGATTAATTTGACGAGAATGTGAAATGTGCAGAGGCAATCGTGTGCCATTTGTAGCACGTGAAATTGCCACAATATTCAATCATTACGGTCGATGCTATCGCCACGATCCAAATTTTTTTGTAGCTTGCAAAGTTCGTGGATGCGGAGCTTCGTATAAGAATTACGAAGGGTTTAAAATCCATATTCGTCGCCACACATGGGGAATTGTATTCTATTGTATATTCTGGCTGGCCAATGTCCAACGATTTTTTATATATTCTACTCTGACTACTACCAGAGGACGGTCTGTATCCTACCTGACAAACTCCAGTGGATTTTATTCGACTTTGCAAACAGCAGTATAAATAGTAAAAATATAGCAATATAAATATATCATTGTCGATTTGCAAGTGCTCTTACAAAGTATGCTGCTGGCGTAGAAGAGGGAGGGCTCATAAAAAAAATGCGCGGTCTTCTATGAACGAGCAACTACCCCTCAAGGAGCCAATGTACTCTTCAGGAAGGGTCGCGCGACTCCCTCGAGGAGTCATTTTAGCCCATCGTGGGGCCAAAACGCCCCTCTTATATAAAACGACCCTTCCGAGGAGTCAAAACTACCCTTCAACACAAGGGACCGAAATGACCCCAAGGGGTCAAAACGACTCCTTTGAATTTACAGTGTATATATATATATATATATAACTATATATATATATATATATATATATATATATATATATATATATATATATATATATATATATATATATATTTTATATATATATATATATATATATATACACAGTAATTTCAAAAGGGCCATTTTGGCCCCTAAAATGGGGCCAAAATTTTGACCCTGAGACGTTTTAATGGCCGTTTTGGGGCCGTTTTGGCCCCATTAAAATAGGGCCATTTTGGCTACTTATTAAAGGGCGATTTTGGCTATTATGTGGGGCCATTTTGGTTCTTTCAAAGGGCTGTTTTCAATCTTATAATTAGAATGATAGCAATTTCAGCTCTCAAAAAAGGGCCAATTTAGCTCTACGTGGGGCTGTTTTGGCTCTTCGAAAAAGGGGCTGTTTTGGCTCTTTCAAAAGGGGCTGTTTTGGCTCTTTCAAAAGGGGCCGTTTTGGTGGTTTCAAAAGGGGCCGTTTTGGCTCTTTCAAAAGGGGCTATTTCGGCTCTTTAAAAGGGGCTGTTTAGCTATTTCAAAAGGGGGATGTTTTGATTCTGAGGACAGCACCATTTTATCGTTGCTCATTAGACATATTCAAATAATCACACAATGCAAGTTTAAAAAGGTGTATTTACATGAAGTTTACATTACATTAAAATATTTACAAGATGCTGGGCACTTTGGTGTGACAATACCCACCACTAGTCACTACAAAAAATTATGTGTAAAATTTGCATGCACAGCAACACATTTACTGTATATATGAATATCATAATGTCTTATTGTTTTACTTGCCAGTGCTGTCACATAATGGGTTAAACAAGTAAACTGAGGTAAAACCATGAATGTTTTCTGGAATCAGGAACGAGCCAGTAGCATATTAGATCACAAATACTGTACAGTACCGACAACATCACCCTTGCATTTTAGTAAGCATCTACCATGTTCAAAGATTCTTTATCGCATTGTAAACTCCATCCTACATAATGAATAATTACAGATAGATTATTTAATTAATATTTGTTTTCATAGGAAAAATTTGATTCACTATGACTATGGCTCCAACCTTAGACCAAATTATAGCTAGTAACATGCTAACCCAGAAATAGTCGTGTAAGGTTCACTGATATTCCGATAACCGATACTGAAAGACTGATATTTTTCAGATACTGACACCAATATTCCATGTCATTACACAAAATTCAAAGATGACATCAAATTACTGACATTTCAATTTAGTTGGTGCATCACTACCCAGAAATCATGGTCACACAGGAAAATGTTAACCCATGAAGTTGCATTGCACTCCTACTTTATTGTATTCCTGTCTAATGTCAATTGCCAGACATATTTGTGAGTGGGAGTGCTGGTGATTAATGGGTTAATGTGCTTACGTCCCTATTTTATTGTCTTTAATCCATTAAGTACCAGTGTTCTCCCCTTGACAAGTAAAATCGTCTGGCATTAGACAGGGTAAAATAATAAAGCGGGGTGTATCAAGATGCAATGCAACTCAATCCATGGATTTTGTTCATTCAGCATTGGCAACAAAGAAAGCTAGATTAATTTATGATTTGTCTTATAAATGACCATCAATACATTAGCACTCTCCACTCGAGTCTTGATAGACAGAAGACAATAATTTGGCATCAACCCAGTATTCATATTGGGTCGTTCCAGAAAAGATCCATACTCCCCCCACGGAGGAAATTTCTGCCGTCCGGAGGGGGAGGGGAGAAAAAATTGTTTCTGATAATAGTAAATGTATTAGGACATCCGAAGGGGGTAGGGGGTTAACTTCCTATTTCCTCCGTGGGGGCGGTATGGATGTTTTCTGAAATGACCCATTTGATACTGTGCTTTTGAGTGCAGAATGGAAAGCTTTGACTTCCACTCACTCTAATGAGTAATCATCTAAGTCAATATTCTAGGGTAAAATCTACCTATAAGGAATCTCTATAATCATACTCACCATGTAGTAATTTTAAGCAGCTTTCCCTTGTCTGTAAGTTGGCTGTAATAGGTATGCTGGCAACAAAAATACAAGATGTCAGCACTTGTAAAAAGAATACTAGTTTTATGATCCCTCCTGCAATATGAACTCTATTTAGAGTGTTTACAGTAAAATGAATGATTCTACCTCTATTTGGCTTAGGTGAGACCTCATTACTTGTTGCCGGGATCCCACCTGCCAAGACGTGAAATTCTCATATACAGTAAGCACTCTATCATCCCTGCCAGATGGGGTGCATGTATCCCGTCTATTTTGCTTAGCCAGGTTTCTCAGCAAGACTGGATTAAAACCTCCTGTCCAGCCATGCCATTATCACATACATGTAAACAGGCACATACAATATGTAAAGGTGGACTTGAATAACTTAGATTCTTGCACTTCACTTGCTGGAATTAATATCAGTTGGTTAGAGTGCTGCACCGGAATCGCAGGGCTGTGGGTTCAATTCCTACCAAATGACCTTGTACTGCATTTTTCGCAGTCGTTCCTGGTTAGGTCTTAAAATGTATATATTCTCACTTGGATTACAAACCATAACATCATAAACATACAATATGTAAACTCTACAAGGGTTTGGATTGGAATCCTTCAAGCTCAAGCTAGCAAAGTTTTACTGTTTATACTTTTTACCATATTGTGGGCAGCACTAACCCTTTAAGACATAATGTGCCCTGATAAATTGAAACTCACAAATAATTTTCATGTTTTGACTTCGAGGCTTGATGCAGACAACCTAAGTGAATATGAATAATGACAACTGCATGTCATTATTCATATTCACATATAGTTTTATACTATGTGGTTTCAAACATGCTTTGGGGAAAGCCAAACAAGTGCAAAACCCAGTATTTACTATAATGTGTTTATTCAAAATTTGAATTGTTGATTTTAACTAATATTTGACGGCATTGAAATGAAATAACTTCAATATAAAACTACGTACGAATTCTCACGCGTGCAAATTCAAATTTTAGCAGCAACAACCACGAATGGACGTTGTAATTAGATGATATAAACAATTATTTTTCATACCTGAGATCAAATAAGCCTTTGGCAGGTTCGGAGTCACTTGTCCAATAAAAAATATAACGAAAATCTGTCAAAAGCAAGCTTTTCTTCGTCGAAATATACTCGAACGAAAAAGTAAAAAATTTGCAAATCACACATTTCACACTGACATTCGATACACGACATACCACAACTCATTGCGCGCGTAGCCCTTGTCTTTAAAATAGATACACCAAAAGCGCTTTTACCTCTCGGCTCTCGCTAGCAATCATAACCTATGAAAATTAGTGAAAATTCTTATAAGCAAATAATGAAGATGGATTCTCTAAAAAATTATATGTCAATTACCATAATATAAAAATTTTATGGTTTAATTAACGTATCGCATGTCATAACATGTGATGGCATTTCATGTCATCGCAAATCTCTACATCATTTGCATGGACAAGAACTTCCACCAAGACGTCCCTTAAATCTGGCTCCATATCCGAAACTAGTCCCTGTGTTACTATACTCCTGAAGAAAAGTTAGCTATATGAATTTTAGTCATTTAGAATAACATCCCAAACTGTACTTGGCCAAAATAGCAATAAGTATGAGGGTCAAAACAGCACTAAATATGGGACCAAAACAGCACCTATAAAATACGAGGACCAAAACAGCACCTAAATATGGGACCAAAACAGAACCTAAATATGGGGACCAAACAGCACTAAATATGGGGCCAAAACAGCCCCTAAATATGGGGACCAAAACAGCACCTAAATATGTGGCCAAAACAGCACTAAATATAAGGCCAAAACAGCACCTAAATATGGGGCCAAAACAGCACCTAAATATGGGCCAAAACAGCACTAAATATAGGGCCAAAACAGCACCTTAATATGGGGCCAAAACAGCACCCCAATTTAGGGCCAAAATAGCATTAAGAATAGGGGCCAAAATGGCCCTCGAGGTGCCAAAATAGCCCTTGTGATCCGTTTTGGCCCCTGTTAGAGCCAAAACGGTACTTATTGCAAAGTGACACAATTCTTATTTTAACCATTAACATTCCAATTTGGCCCTGTACATGGCCAAAACGGCTAGAAAAATAAGGGCCAAAACGGCCCTAGTGTTCTGTTTTGGCCCCTAGTGTTCTGTTTTGGCCCCTAGTGTTCTGTTTTGGCCCCTGTTAGAGTCAAAACGGCCCCGGTTTTGAAAAGCCAAAATGGCCCTATGGGGCCAAAATGGCCCTTCTAAAATTACTGTGCTGTGACATAATTATTTGACTTGCAACCTTTCGGCCTTGTTTATCCTGGAATTTTTGCGAATAGCTGAAACTGGAGACTGCGTCGACGATGCAAATTTCGAAACCGTGGACAGTCAGACTCCTAGAAGATATAGATATGTAGATGGTGGAATTCCTTATCACTTGCGCCTCAGTATTGCAACGTATGCAATAAAACAAAAAATAATTGAAAAAAATATTCTGTTCTGACAATGTTTTGTGATGAAATTCAGCGGATAGGATTTTGAGAAACTGCGTTCATAAAACCGAAATTTATGAGAGCGAACCAACCGTTGTGATTTCGTAGATTGCCATTTCGTGTCCAGAAATATCATGATGATTTAATGATTTGATGAGATTCGGCTAGTAGAGCGCCAGGGAGTTCGCTCCAGGTTTCCCCAGCTACGGCGACCACATAATTAACTTT